GAAGATATACAGTCCTCAGATTGAAGGAAATAAAGATTGTGAAGTCCTCATATGTGTGGATTTCTAACACTTTCTGACCAAGGTCATATCTCCTTAATTTGATAGACGTTCCTTGAATTCTACTTGATTGTCATTTCATTCAGCAAATTCGCTTGCTTCGCTTTCATATTTTTCATTCAACTAGTTTTACAAACGAGGCGCATGTCATGTGATTTCCCACTTGTTGTTGTTTTTGCCACATCGACTTCCGGCCGCTTTGTTAAATTAAAATCCAATGAAATTAAGCTACAATTTCCAAGTATACAAATGCATCGAATTTAATAAAACAATTATTCCATTCGCGCTTGTTGGATATGAGATTGGTTATAGCCAACGAGGTCCGTAGGGCCTCGTTGGCTATTTACCACCTCAGATCCGCGCTCATGGAATAATTGTTAAGTATACCACGAGACAGCGTTGAATGACTATTTTATACTATGACATAGAAAATTTATAGTGACCAACACAATCAATGCGACATATGCGCGGCGCACGATGAGAAGGTTGGGTGCAATACCATCGAATATACAACGGATTTCCTGTATTCTGATTGGCTGTATTTTCTATGGCATGGTATATAGAAAAATATAACTACAGTACCTGGAGAATGAGCATGCTTTCCACTCAACAGAAAATTCCGGAATTCGCAAGGACAACCTCGAGACGTTCACCTAGATTTTGGAGAAGTTCCTAATACTCCTCCTTGGCCTGTGCATCACTTGCTTTCTTTCTCAATCGAGAGGTGGTCTTCTAAGACCATTACAATATCACACCGATTCATGTTGTCTTCTTTAAGCGTCTTACAGAAGCTGTAAACTGTTAAGTCTGGTTTAGATCCCCGTAGAAATTCCAGAACAGCATTTCCTGATTGACGTAAATTTGCGAGGCCTCTAACCAGATGCTCCTCCATTCCGTATTTAGCTGCTATTTGCCTGCAGCCCCCAAGACCAGGAGTTTTGTCTTCAAGAAGTATGGCAATTTTATCTCGAGTGTCAAGGTCAACTTCCCTCAGGTACTTGAGTCCTGAATTGAAATTTGTAATAGGTAAAATACAATTTACAACTCAACAACAGAAACCCTTGTTAAAATTAGTGTGAGAATCGTGCCACAATTTCTGTTGAATTATTCTTGTAGTTCCGAGTTGTTTTTTCTCTCCTAACGGGGGCAATAAGGTGTTCTTCACCTTTAATTACTTGGTCAGGCAATTTCCAGTGATGTCATAACACTTTTTATATCAAGAGAGCTAAATTACTTAGCCATATAATAGTGAACATTTCTTGTATGTCAGAAAGGTTGCAGATAACCGGATAATTTAGTAATAGACCCCTTGGGGATTAAATTGGAAGGGGCGGGGGGATTGCTCCATAAAACCCTTACCCGGCTCAGGCAGAGATATGTGATTTTTACTTTCTTTATTTTAGACCTGACCCTAAAATTGCTACCCTGTTTAGACCAGATCTGACCTTATTGGTTTGTATAACCATTTAAAAGGTAAAAAAGACCTCCAAAATACTAGTAGGTTACCAGTGCTTAAAATATAATTCCACTAATTAAAATTGCACAATAAGAATAACAATAATGATAACTTAAATAGTTTCTTCAGAAAATGATATTTGCTTACTAGAATGTACAAACGTGACAGTCAGTATATAAATAGTACTATATCATATATTCGATATATCATGAAATATTTAACTCACTGTACTCTAATTAGGAAATGGAAAACAGTTACCGTGTTTCTATCGAGTTATACAAACACGATTTTAAACCGATCGGCACGCGTATTTTCTTGAGGCTATTTTTTAAAGTGGGATATTTCATGGCACACGACTCACAAGCATTCCCTGGTTAGTTTATAGTCGATACTGGTGAGGTATGAGCTTCATTCCTGGTCAAATAAGTCAGAATTAAACTCTTGCATTCCCTGTGATGTCTTTAAATGATAAATTACGGTACATCTCCATGTAGCTCAAATAACCAAAAACAAGTGAGGGTTTGGTCACCAATTAATTTTGCAACATAAAAGGGTAAGAGTAAGTCAGATTAAGACAAGCTAAATTTGACATGCCACCAAACAAATTAAACATCACTTACTCTTTCCTTCACAAGGGGAAACCTCCAAAAATGCAGGTTCCGATGTAACAGCTTCTCTGTGACCTCTTCCGTGAGTTATGCGGCAACTGTAGCATCCAAAATCACGCATCTTGACAGAATCCAGAATAAGACTAGAATTGTTTTGCTCCTGAAGTTCTGTGTCATCTTTAAGCCAATGATACCAGACTTCGCAGCTTCCCTGCACCTGACACTCACATGTGAACTCAACCCTTGAACCTTCTCTCTGATTTTGTGATTTAGGCTGTTGCACTATTTCTATTTGCCCTGCAATGAATATACAAATGTAATTACAGCTAATAATATAATTAGACAGGGATTGTGTTTTTGAGACCACATGGTTACATACAATTACTTTACTGCTGCCTCCCCAATGGGGCTTTTCAGGAACAATGACTTACCACACTAATTACAATAACATTAAAAATACAATAAAACGACTATGAGCACAAATCTCTCTTTTACTATTTTTTGAGGTGGTTGTCAACAACTTTCAGTCCTTTCCAGAAGTTGTACTTTGATGGATATGTACTACCACACTTTATCAAGAGTCAGGAAATTGTCATACGGACTGTTTCCATGGAAATGATCTTGGGCTATTATTTTTTGTTTTCAAAAGCCAGCAGAATTCAAAAATTGTAACAGTTACTAAAATTGCAAAAAAAAAAAAATGTTTAGTAATAATACTCTCACCCTTTGCAAAGAAACTAAAACTAAAAAGATTGATATTTTATTTTACTGAGATTACACAAACAGTTGTACATGTTGCACTTCAAAGAGCTGAATGGTGGTTTTTATCCCTGTATCTTTGGAGCCAGAAAAATAAACAAGAATAGCCTGAGTACCTTATTTTAAACTATTTACTACAGTTAACCTACAGCTTGCTGTAGGTGTAGCTAAGGAGCTGAGCAACCTGTAGCTTGCTGGGGAATAGGGAGTTTACGCAAATCACTACGGCTGGTGCTACTACGGCTACCGTGACTGAAAAGGTCTGGGGAGAGTACGTCTCGGTGGTCTGCCAAATTTTAAGTTTAGCGAGTGAAGCGAAATACAAAGATGAAAGAAACATCGGCAAAGGAGTTTAAAATCTCTTTTATTTAGTTTCTCACAGCCAAATGGCTTCGCTCAAAGGACGATGACCGTTATTCGGTAAGACGAAGAGATTATTTCTGGCGAAAGCGAATGCCATACACTTTGTACCATAACAATTTGATGGATGAAATATATAATTTCAGAGACAACTATCTCAAAGAATATCGAGTGAAGAACACAAATATATCAATACTCAAAGAAGCAAAATAGCATCGTATAGTTATCCAGATATAAAACATCT